ACTCGAAAATACTGACATTGTTGTCGGTCAATGCAGTATCCGGATCAGAAAGTCCTTGGCTACCACTTTTCATATCTTTTGCTGTTTCATCTAAGCTTTTCTAAAATAAATCACGCAGAAGTTTTAGTATGACCGTACGATTGGAGCTGCCAGTAAAACTGTATACCCGCGTTGTAAGAGCGCTGATGGAGTTTGTAGCAATATTCTAGGAATAAAAACAAGAGAATTTGAAAATAATAATTCAGTAGAAATTAACCTACTGTCCGTAAAAAAACACAGTGCACTTTGCGATTTTTTGAATAACTTTTGATGGAAGCTAGACAGAGACCTGCGGTTTGCAGTTTTGAGAACTAGACATCAGACCAAATACTTCTACGAGCAAAAACGAATTTCAGAATAATTTCCGAAGTGGGTTTCTCAGAGAATCTTTGGAAAACCAGTTTGGATCTCCGTAAACTGACATAGAAATAGATCGATTTTTTTTTGATAGATATATAGTCCGAGGTGTTTTCTGCAAAACTGGATCTAAGCGACATCTCGAAAACCCATTGTTCGAAGATTTACGACTTCTCTGCCGTTAGGTTTGGGACTGTCAGAAACGAATGAATAGAAGTTAAAGTCTGCGTTTTAACTTGGAAAAAATGGAAACTATTCTAAGATAAAAGTGTGAGTTTATATTTCTGTTGGTGTTTGAAGTGTCCAAGAGCTTGACGAAATGTCCAAAAATAGTTGTACATATATAATTTTACATGCTCTGACTAAAATTCGAGCTTAAAATTTTGGATTAAGTCAAATAAAACGAGTTTTTGTCTTAATTAAATTTTTCTGGAAACGCCTATATTTCAGACAATTCACGTCTCCGAAATGTATCAAAGTCGGATAGAGCTTAAAATTTTACGTATACTAGTAGATTATCAGTATGTGATTGAGGAACATCTCTTCTCACTGAAATAACAAAATATAAGACTCGACTAAATGTTCTTAAGTCGATGACACGTTAGAAAAAGGGAAGACAACGTGTTTTATCAAATGGAAGAGAGACAAGAGAGAAGAAAAAGCATGTTTTCTTTTTTTCACAGTAAACACGAACGTATATAAACAGAACAGAAAAAGTAAAAAACTTAAGTTTTAAACGTTTGGAACCAAAACCAATGTGATATTCGGAATCTGCGAATAAAACTGCATCGAATAATATATAATTCGATGTGTTATTTTTCGACGAGAGAACAGAAAAACAAACGATTTTTGTTGCATCGTCCTGGTGCGACATCTTTCGAAAAGCAGTGCCGTGCTTTTTTATTTTAACTTGATAAATGTATTTAATTACTGTTGTAATTAAATGAGCAGTACAAAAACATATAGCATTCACTTTGTTTTTTTCAACATTAAGGCACAACAGTAATGGCTGACAGAATTTTTACTCCTCGCTCCTAGCGTATTCTAACCGTAGATTCGTCACTGTGGTAAAACAAAAGTTTCGCACGATTCATACAATAGAGATGATTGACATTTGCAAGAAAAAAAAGAAAGTTTGTATATTTAATAAACGACAGACACGAAAATTTCAGCATTTTTTAGCTCACAAAGACATCGTACAGTTAGATTTTACGATTCTCATACACTAGCGTCAGCTTTCAGTAGCCATCTATGTAACTATTGTCGTTGTCAAACATGAACTGACTGGTGTAGATTTCTAACCAATCGATTTTTTTCTTTTCTGTTTAAATAAAGTGTGCTTGAGTGAACAAAGAAATAAATAAATTGATTACAATAGCATCAAACAACAAACAACAGACATGACTGACAGTAATTCTTTTCCAATAACGCATTCTGGTAAGTTTTCTAAGTGGAGCTTCAAAATTGCAACGATCTATACCGCTAGCTTTCCAAATTAATAAGAACACTTTTCCTTCTGGAAAGCTTTGTATGGCCGGTTTCGTCAAAAACTTCAATGGTTTTCACTCAATTTTCGTTTATTCCATTTAGATCAATTAGTATTGTGTATCCACGATTTGGTCTCGACGATGAGTGTCATTTATTCAAAAGATCTTCAAGATCAGTGCAATCAAATTCTGGTGGATTTGGAACATGTATCAAATGTATCCGAGTTAATCAATCGAATTTGCCAACTAATAGCTGTCGCAAAACAATTCAGCAATCGGTACTTTTCCATTGATAATAATCGATCAAAAGAACAACTAATTCATTTAAAACAAATGTATGATAAGATACAACAAGAATTAACCAATATTGAACATCAATGTGGTCAAGACTTGAACGAATTGAAAAAGCAATTACAATGTTTGTTCGACACATTATCGGATATTATTAATTATCAGTCAACAAAAATCATTAATCTTGAATCGAGAGTGGTGAATCTTGAAACGGATAAGAAATTAATGGAAGTGAGAATGATGAACTTTGAAACCAAAGCAAGGCTTGTGGAAAAAATGAAACTGTTTGGAGATCTACTATATCCACTGAGCCAGGTAAGCCCATTGTGACGATTATTTGTCACAACCTCTCTTTCCACTATGTACAAATTATCTTCGTATATTCACCTTAGCTACTTTTATCTATTGAACGTAAATAGATAGAAACAGAACTGAATGCATATATTGTCGAGAAAATACACCAATATGCTTGATATGAATGAGATTTACTTACTTATCTATCTGTCGGTCTACACAAGTGTCTATGTCCAACAAAATGAAACTGCAGGGTTCAAATTGTCCTCGCTGTATTGACTTATTGGATTACTTTGCATTTCACTTCAGAGAAAATCTCCATGATCATATCATTAAGTTTTTCTTTCACTTGAAAATATAGATTTGACGATAAGTGTTTTGAACTCGCTCGAACTTGACTATTCCTTCATATATTTAATGAAAGAAAGTGAAAGAATGATCACTCTCTTTTATCTCTATTATAAATTCCAGTCAGGAGTGAATTCAGACGAAAATAGTCATTTTTTCACTATACTCGAATATCTCTTCTGCATTTGTTCTAGGAAATTCACGATTATTTGCGTCAATTGGATGGTAACCCACAACATTATGACGATTCATCAATTTATTTGGCCTACAAAGCAAAATCATTAGGTGATGATTTCATGGAAAATGAATATAAGCAATGTTTTGCGAAATCAATTAATGATACTACCTATGAAGAATTTTATCGCTGGATTGTTAACAAATCCATCCAACTGAACACTGAAGGATCTTTACTATGTGGACTTTTATATGAAAAAAAGAAAAGAAATTTCGATCTTCATAGTGACATCAGCGATTTTTTTCTTGATTGTCGATCAACATTTGAATATTCTTTCAATGATCTGTTAAAAAGAAATGACTTGAATGAAGTATTTAACGAAAAAGAATCGAATGCTTTAAAAAACATATATGAAACGTATTTTTGTGATCAAATTGATTGTATTCGACGATTGGAGCAACAACGTTCTTCAAAACGCGTCTAAAACTGATTTTTGGCGCGATTTTTCTTTTTGATTTTTTTAATCTCTTCTTTTTTTCTCCATTGACTTCTTTTTTATCATACTGTGGATTCCAACTTATTCAAGTAGACATTGTCGTGCAAAGAAATCTTCCCAATTTCTTCAGATGATCTGGCTCATTCTAAAAGGGAAATTCTCAATAAAGCTAATGATATTTTCGTCTCGAAGCTCTGCAATTGCTCTTTTTCAGTTGATTGTAATCATTAATGAATCGTCGTATCGACCATAGTCGTGCGAGCTTTGCTTTTTTTCTACATGAAGAAAGGAAAAGAAAAAAACAAGGTTTCTTTACATCATTCGAAGACCAAGAAAAAAAATCCATTCGTTAGACATGTTTTGATGATGAAAAGACCTTAATCGTCTTCTAATCAAGAAAAATCGTCAAGTAATTCTCTTTCCACATCAACTTTCACTTTGAGTTGTTGAATGAATAATTTTATATGGTTTGTCAAAACATCTTTCTTTTTTCAGTCGTTTTTCAATGTTTGTAAATGAAAATATTCATTGAATATCGTTTTCTTTCTGAGAGAGTTAATTTGATGCTTTTTCTCAATCAGACAAACTATGTTTGACAGAATATGACAATTTTCCGGTAGTATTCAACGATGAATGCCCATGATTTGATTCGATTTGTTCTTGAAAATTTATCGTAGCATTGATTTTGATCTTGTCCATTAAGTAGAATGGGTTATTGCTTGACATGTTGTATGTATAGAAGAAAATGTTACTTAAATGTATTTTATTTTTTTGCTTCTCATCGAATTATTTCGGCTGATTAAGAATCTCACACATATATCTATTGAAATACAGAAATTTTTCTTAAAAACTATTTAGGCAAGAGAAAAAGAGTTTGATTAATATTAATGTATTTTTCCTTTTGAAAAAGAAAACAGAAAAAGATAAATGGTATTATCATGTGAAGATGTTCTTCATGATTGCATGTCATTCATCCATGAAAGATATTCGAATATTTGTTTGATTAATTCGCTATTTGTTTATTCAAATCTATCGAATGACGTCAAACAGTCGAATAGGTTTCAAAGAGAATTTTTCATTCAGTGGTTCTATTTGAATATATTTAGAGATTTTCGTAATAAATTAATTCGAAGATATTCTTACCAAAATGAAGATTATCTAATGAAACAAGATCAAAGTTAAACGTCAATGACGCTTCTCTCAAGAACAATTTTTCCTTCTTTCTAAATTTTCAATGGATAACAGGAATCATTTGTCGCGAAATCGTCGATGATACAATTAGTTTGAATGATTATGTCCAACTGTTATCAGTAAATAAAATGATTGGTATATTTGAATGGCAGGTTGAATGTTATTTGTATGTTTGAATGACGATTTAAGAACACATGAAAAATATCATTTAAAATGAATTTATCGTCATACTTTATTCTTTTCATTGGCTGAGAATTCATTAAATAGCAATTTAGAAATGATTTTGAATTATTCACATGGGAAAACCATCTTCATTCGAGATATTTTTCCTGGAAAATGTCAGTGAGATTAAATACATTAATTAAAAGGGAAGGTATCAACTCGTAACGGGACGTTACGAAAGCCCTGTTTTTTGATGACTTTTTACAGGGCTTTCGTATCGATTTTTACAGGGCTCTCGCATCAAAAAAATACAGAGCTTTCGAATCGGTTTTTACAGTGTCTTCGTATGAATTTTACAGGGCTTTCATATCGCTCTTACAGGGCTATCATAACGTTAGAGCAGTTAGTGTGATCTCTAGTCAAATGCTGCTGACAGGGCTTTCGTATTGAGATTAGTATTCTACCAGAAATTATGACGAAAAAAGTTCAAGAGCACAAAGAGAGAACCAGAAAATAGATACAGACAAACTTTAATCTTTTTCTGAATTTTTTTCCTAATGACAACAAGAAGTAACAACAGCCAAGAAAAACATAGAGAGGGAGAAGATTGAACGAGCAAAAAACCCAAATAACATAGAAATAAGAGTACACAATTGATTTTCTTGACTTTAAGTCAAAAGTTACAACAAGAAATAATCGTACAATCACATAGACAATGTTGAAAGAGTAAATGTTTAGAAGTGAC